CAGAGTCACAGATGGAGATTTCCACAAGCTCCCTTAACTATCATTATAGTTAGAAGGGTTTTTTTTTTTCTAAAATATCTCACCTACATCTCTCTTTCTGCCAATTAAGCCCATTACTTCTTGTCCTACCTTCAGTGGACATGGAGAACAATTGATCCCCATCCTCTTCATAATAGCTGTTAACATATTTGAGGAGTGTTATCCGGTCCCTACTCAGTCTTCAGACAGGACTCTAGATGAGGCTTCACCAGTGCCAAGTAGAGAGTGACAACTACCTCCTTTGTCTTACACACGGCACTCCTGTTAATACACCCCCAAATGACATTAGTTTCTTTTGTAACTGAATCACATTGCTGACTTATATTCAATTTGTGATTTACAGATCCATGTCAGCAGTACTACCACCTAGCCAGTTATTCCCCATTTTGTAGCTGTACATTCGATTTTCCCTTCCTAAGTGAAGTACTTTGTGCTAATATTTATTGAATTTCATCTAGCTGATTTCAGACCAATTCTCCAATTTGTAAAGGTCACTTTGAATTATAATCCTGTCTTCCAAAGTGCTGGTGACTCCTCCCAGCTTGGTGCCACCTGCAAATTTTATAAGCATATTCTTCACTACATTATCCAAGTCATTAATGAAAATATTGAATAGTACCAGACACAGGATTGACCCCTGTGGAACCCCACCAAGTACGCCCTCCTAGTGTAACTGCAAACCATTGATAACTACTCTTTGAGTACAGTCTTTCAAACAGTTGTGAATTCATCTTATAGTAAGTTCATGTGGACCATATTTCCCTTTTTCGTTATGAGAATGTCATGTGGGACTGTATTAAAAGCCTTACTAAAATCAACCCTGTCAAAGAAGGAAATTAGTTTGGTTTGGCGTGATTTGTTCTTGAGAAATGTATATTGGCTATTCTTTATAACCCTATTATCCTCTAGGTGCTTACAGCCTGATGATTTAATAATTTGTTCTAGTATACAGGTATCAAAATTAGGCTGACTAGTTTATAATTCCAGGGGTCCTCTTTGTTTCCCTTTTTAAATATAGGTACTTTATTTATATTTTTATGCATATAAATAATAATATAATATATATTGATATATTAAACATAATATATTGTTAAATACAGTATATAAATATATTAACAATATATTGTATATTAATATATTTATTTATATACATTCTCTAGTGCTTTGGGACCTCACCTGTCCTCCATGACTTCTCAAAATTAATCGCTAACAGTGCTGAGATTGCTTCAGCTAGTTCCCTAAGTACCCTAGGATGAAGTTCATCAGGCCCTGCCGATTTGAATACATCTAACTTATCTAAATATTCTTTATCCTGTTCTTTCTCTATTTTGTTTTGTTTTCCTTACCCCTGGTCGTTAATATTAATTGTATTGAGTATCTGGTCACCCCTAACCTTTTTAGTGAAGACTGAAGCAAAATAGGCATTAAATATCTCAGTCTTCTTGCTGTCATCAGTTACTCTCTCTCCTTCCCTGACAAGAGTAGGACCTAAGCTTTCCTTCATCTTTCTCTTGCTCCTAATGCATTTAAAAACCTCTTCTTAATGATTTATGTCCCTTGCTGGGTGTAACTCATTTTGTGCTTTAGACTTTCTGCTTCTTGTCCCTACATGCTTGTGCTATTCTTTTGTACTCATCCTTAGCAATTTGTCCATGTTTCCCACCTTTTGATTTCACTGAATGTCCTCTTGAATGTGTGTTGATTGATGGGAAGTCCATTGTCTATGTTTGGGTTGTTTTTCATTTATGGGCTAAGCACCCAGGCTAGGCGAGTACTTACAGATGCATTTAAGAACGTGAAGGAAGAAATAAATAAATAAACCCCACAAACTGACTAATGAAAATAATAAATGACATGCAAAAAGCCATGTGGAAGCTAAATTGGGTTCTTGATTACAGGTTTTCATGAAAAAAAATATGAAAAGTTAGCCACCAACTCTCTCTGTGTCCCCCCGTCCACCCCAAACACAGAAAATAAGACCAAAATGTTGGGAAAATTTCCTTTTTAGAAAAAATGCCCGTTCCAGATACAAAATTTTAATCAGTTCATTAAAGGGCAAAGTTATTGAGAGCAATGCTGCAGGATCAGGGCCCATAGCCTCAGTTCAGAGACATAGAGATGTGTTGGATACATACAAGATTAAGGGAATGAAGTCCCAAATAGCCTTCAATGTCTTGCTCCTGAAGTTGTAGATTTCAGTGTGTTGGGCCAGAGGTCACAGGACTAGAAGGGGCCTCCTGGGTCATTGAGTCCTGTCGCCGCTATCACAGACCATCCTGCCATATCATTCCATCCATACATTTGCTCCTTCGTCAGTCGATCCACCATTAGCTTCTCACTCCACTACAACTTCAGGGATGACTTGAAGTCCCACAACTTAACACAGCTTTGAATGATTTCAACTCTCAGTGGTTTCAGCTGTTAGTGGGGGACTCTCACTACTAGTGCACACTGGGCAGTCTCTTTCACCAGAGACACTGTCCCAAAGCAGCTCTAATGCTTAGACCTGGTTATAAGTGATTTCAGCTCTATTGATCTGCAGCAAAAGACTCTCAATGAAATCTTAATCAGCTCTGTCATTAAATAGTGGAGAGTAAAATGGCATTTAAGACATTTAATGACAGGGCCCACACCACCAAGTACAAACACCTGTCTGAACCCTCTCTCATCACTACTAGGCTTTGGCATACCTATCCTCTGCTTAGAAAGCTCAGTTCAGTTGAGGGTGAAGCCCTCAATCAGGACATGCCAAACACAGTTCTGCTGCCCGTGAGTCACACAACAGGGATAATAACCCTTTATTACTCCTGCACCCAATGACAAAGTGACTTGGAATCCAAAAGTGATCATTTGGGCAAAGTGATCATGCTGCTCACCTAGGCAGAGTGGGTGTGTCCAAGCAAACAAGGTTGGCTTCTGCAGTCTTCCTCCCCAGCTCATCACTAGATGTCAGGAACAGTCAACATGGATTCACCAAGAGCAAGTCATGCCTGAACAACCTGATTGCCTTCTATAATGAGATAACTGGCTCTGTGGGTATGGGGAAAGCGGTGGATGTGATATATCTTGACTTTAGCAAAGCTTTTGATACAGTCTCCCACAGTATTCTTGCCAACAGGTTAAAGAAGTATGGACTGGATGAATGGACTATAACGTGGATAGAAAGCTGGCTAGATTGTCAGGGTCATTGGGCAGTGATCAATGGCGCGATGTCTAGTTGGCAGCCGGTATCAAGTGGACTGCCCCAGGTCGGTCCTGGGGCTGGTTTTGTTCAACATCTTCATTAATGATCTGGAACAGGGGTTCTCAAACTGGGGGTTGGGACCCCTCAGGGGGTCACGAGGTTATTACATGGGGGGTCACGAGCTGTCAACCTTCACCCCAAACCCCACTTTGCCTCCAGCATTTATAATAGTGTTAAATATATAAAAAGGGTTTTTAATTTATAAGCAGGGGGTCGTACTCAGAGGCTTGCTACGTGAAAGGGGTCACCAGTACAAAAGTTTGAGAACCACTGATCTGGATGATGGGATGGATTACACCCTCAGCAAATTCGCAGATGACACTAAACTGGGAGGAGTGGTAGATACGCTGGAGGGTAGGGATAGGATACAGAGTGACCTAGACAAATTGGAGGATTGGGCCAAAAGAAATCTGATGAGGTTCAACAAGGACAAGTGCAGAGTTCTGCACTTAGAACGGAAGAATCCCATGCACCGCTACAGGCTGGGGACCGACTGGCTATGCAGCAGTTCTGCAGAAAAGAACCTGGCTATTACAGTAGATGAGAAGCTGGATATAAGTCAGCAGTGTGCCCTTGTTGCGAAGAAGGCTAATGTCATATTGGGCTGTATTAGTAGGAGCATGCCAGCAGATCGAGGGAAGTGATTATTCCCCTCTATTCGGCACTCGTGAGGCCACACCTGGAGTATTGCATCCAGTTTTGGTCCCCCCACTACAGAAGAGATGTGGACAAACTGGAGAGAGTCCAGCAGAGGGCAATGAAAATGATTAGGGGGCTGGGGCACATGACTTATGAGGAGAGGCTGAGAGAACTGGCCTTATTTAGTCTGCAGAAGAGAAGAGTAAGGGGGGGTTTGATAGCAGCCTTCAATTACCTGAAAGGGAGATCAAAAGAGGATGGAGCTAGGCTGTTCTCAATAGTGGCAGATGACAGAACAAGACACAATGATCTCAAGTTGCAGTGGGGGAGGTATAGGTTGGCTATTAGGAAACACTATTTCACTAGGTGGGTGGTGAAGGACTGGAATGTGTTACCTAGGGAGGTGGTGGAATCTCCATCCTTAGAGGTTTTTAAGGCCCGGCTTGACAAAGCCTGGCTGGGATGATTTAGTTGGTGTTGGTCCTGCTTTGAGCAGGGGATTGGACTAGATGACCTCCTGAGGTCTCTTCTCACCCTAATATTCTATGATTCTATGTCAATGGAGAGCTCATTCAGTGCCTGCTTATGCATTTATCATGTATGGACATTTCTCCACAGCTCTAAATGCAACTGTCATGGAGAAAAATCAGAATCGGTGTAGAGCAGCCCATGAGAAGATGGATTGTCCAGGCAAGTACATGGGAGACCCGGATTCAACTCCTAAGACACTTTTGCAAAAATTAGCAGTTGACAAATGGAAAAACAAACAAACAAGAAAAAAAGAAAAATTTAAAAGTCAAATAAAAGTTACATGTAATTTATTCTATCATATTAAAGAAATACTGAAATATCTATTTTCAGTTGGGGAAAAAAACAGATAATTGTGGGTGTGTAGGGAGGAACAGAAGAAGATATTAGCAGAAGTTTGTGGTTTTGAAAAATGTTTATCCCCCTCCCCCCAGTCAGGATCCATCATTGTGGATTTGATTCCCCTCCACACAGGATCCATGTTGTATAAGGACTCCCCGAGACCTTGTTGAGTTAGCTCACTGGTGAGTGACTCTTTTCTCCTTTGCAGACCCAATGGGCCCCAGTTGGATGATCCCAGGAAATTGGTCTCTTGCAGCAATCACTGAGGTTGTTCTTCTTGGTTTCTTCAGCCTCCGCCAGCAGCAGCTGCCCCTCTTCCTCCTCTACCTCATTGTGTACACGTTGACACTTCTGGGGAATAGCTTGGTTAGTCTCATGATTTGTGTGAACCGCCGCCTGCACATGCCCATGTACTGCTTCCTCAGCTACCTCTCACTGGAGATGCTCATCACCACCACCATCACACCCAAGATGCTCAGCATTCTCCTTGAAAATGTTACCAAGACTAAGACAGAAGCCAAGTGTAACCAGTAGAGCAAATCTGTCTGAGTCTTGCATGAGCCAATCACTCATGGAGAGGAGGGAGCTGTTCTGAGTTAACCAATACAACACCTGCCTGAGTCTGCAGAGTCTGCAGAGAGCCTGAACCAGTCACAAAGATAACTCCATAAGGCTGAGGCACAGGCTGCTGCTCCAAGACTGCTCTTGCCATCAGTAGACAGATGGGGCAATTCTGGGCGATACAGCCCATTTTTTTATAGATGTGGCACTATTTCTCCCCACTCTTCCTGGAGTGCCTCTGAGGTGGCCTCCCTCTTGCTGGAGTAGGTCCTTCCTCTGGGTGGGAGTCTCGGACTGGACCTTTTCCTGGTCTCTGATCCCTCATCATCCTGTTACATAATCTAGGGGCCCCAGACCCCAGTTCTTCTTTTAAGAACCTGATTGATTTTCAGTGTCCTGAAGACAAAGGGTCTGGTCTGTGCTCACATTGCTAACCAATTGGTTGGTATATTATTCTCAAGCCTCCCCAGGAAAGGGGGTGAAGGGGCTTGGGGGGATATTTTGGGGGAATAGGGATTCCAAGTGACCCTTCCCTGAATTTTTGTGTAAATCACTTGGTGGTGGCAGCAATATTGCCCAAGGACAAGGAAAGAAATGTGTGCCTTGGGGAAGTTTTTAACCTAAGCTGGTAGAATATAAGTTTAGGGGCTCTTTCACGTGGGTCCCCACATCTGTACCCCAGCATTCAGAGTGGGGGGGGGAACCCTGACAGAGGTTCTAAGTAACGAGTATCAGAAATACTGGAACAAACATGAAACTAGGCATCATGGAACAGATACTCAGGTCACGTGAATTGGAATAGCTCCATAGCACTATCGAATTTACACCATCTGGGGATCTGGCCTCATTGACTAACTGTACCATGGCAGATCTACACAAGTTGGGGATTTGGATTTGACCCCTGTGATAAATGAAGGGGGAGGGGAGCTCCCTTTTATGAACCCAGCCAGTCAGCTATAAAATCCCTCTTAGTAGCTGTTCTCTACATGGCATGGAATGGGGGGAGGGATAGCTCAGTGGTTTGAGCATTGGCCTGCTAAACCTAGGGTTGTGAGTTCAATCCTTGAGGGGGCCACTTAGGGATCTGGGGCAAAATTGGTACTTGGTCCTGCTAGTGAAGGCAGGGGACTGGACTCAATGACCTTTCAGGGTCCCTTCCAGTTCTATGAGATAGGTATATCTCCATATATTTATTTATTTACGTGCTTTACCTGTAAAGGGTTAAAAGTCTCACTGAGATGCATAGGTAAAAGGAAGTGAGTGGGCTTCTGGCCAAAAGAGCCAATGGGAAGGCTAGAACTTTTTAAAATTGAAACAAGACTCCCCTTTTGTCTGTCTATTGTTGTTCTCAGGGAGAGGCAGACTTTTGTCTCATCTTCAGTTCAGATTCAGAGGCAAAGAATATGGATTAGAAGGTGTGTAATGGACCATATCCCCAGCTGGGGAAAATCAGACATAGTTCCATTGGAGTTAATGAGGCCAGATGTCCTGCTGGTCAAAACTGACATAGCTCCATGGCAGTCTTGGGGTCAGATTCTCAGCTAATGTAAATCAAAGTAGTGCCAATGAAATCAAAGGGGCAAATATCCACATGGGGTAAACAGCCCTAACTACTCGGAACTCAATGGAACTGTATCAATTTACACCAATTTAGGAGGTTGCCTCTGGCTGCTTCTTAGTGACCAACATCAAACAGCCAGGGCAGCCTGAGCTGTGGGTTCCTCTGGTGGCTGCATCCCAAGAGCTGCTGATGTAACACAGGGGAAAAACATCTCTGCTCTCTCAGAGCTGATTATGTGGCGTTAATGAGGAAACCAGCTCTGGTGTCACTGGACTCCATTTCTGTGCTACAAATATATAGTTCATTCTGCAGTTTCCTTCACACACAGTTTGGGCCTCAGCCCTGCCTTGTTTTTAGCCACAGATCCATCCATGGTTGCTGCCATCGTGTGAGGGCAAGGGCAGATGCTGTTCCCCCATTGTAGGATTAGGGTTAGCTAGGGCAGGTGTCAGGGTGGTTTGCTCCAGAGCTGAGATCAGAGCTGGGCTCACAGCCCTGGAGTCCGGATTCAGCTATTTAGCACCAGGGCAGATGCATCCTGGGCTGTGACCTTGTCTTGAAGCCTGCAGAAGCCAGGATATGTTTCAGAGCTGGGAGTGACTTTCTGCCCCAATCCTATTTAGTCCTTCACCTCTCACCAAGCCTGCCTGAAGAAGGGAGCAGGGAGTGCCTGTCTCTGGAGTGGATCCCTGTCTGCAAGGAACCACAGAGAGACCCAGTAATGCAGGAAATATGATGAAGAGTCAGGGAAATGGATGTTGGATAATACAGAGATGGGGGCATTATTGACAGATCTATATATAGACAATGACTGACAAATCCTGACAGTGGACTGTCAAATGAACCACAGACTGGGAAACATTTCACAAAGACCAGCTTTGTAAGTTTGCAATTTCAGTTAAATATTTTTGGTATTATTATGTTGCAGAAATTTAATTCTAGAGCTACGAATTACAATTGAAACTCTTAAAGTCTTTTACTATCATTTAATCAAACATCTAGAGCTCTTCTTTTTTTTCTGCAGCAGAAAAAAATCAATTTTCATAGATATTGTGAAAACTAAACACTTTTTATTTTTGTTAACTGAGAACCAAACCATTGCTGGTAAAAAACTGTGTAAAACTGGAAAATTTTCACTGAAGTAATTGAATTTTTTTTCTTCCCAATACATATGTTATTTTTAAGGATAGGAGAGACTTCTTATGAAAATGTCTTCGGTTCAAATCCCAGTTTTCCTTTGAAATAATTTAAACCAAAAATATCTGAATATCCCAAATTGGAAATTTAGAATTAAGCCAGGGTGAGAACATTAATATTGTCCAATAACACCACTCTTCTGAACCTATTCACTCTATTGCAATCCCATTTACGGCTGTTTCAAAGGGATACTTGCAGGATGGTAAAACTGAGTAAATAGCATAAGCTGATACCCACAGGATATGCTATATACATGCAGGGACCTTTAAACTGAGGCACAGAGAGTTGAAGCCCCCAACCAAAGCCTGTCTCTGCCCAAGGACATAGAGGAGGGCAATGGGACTAGACCTCAGCTTTCCTACTCTAGCACCATATCCTCTCTCCCACACTGATGCCTGCTAAACAGAAATGCTCTTAACAGGTGGACAGAACAAACACATAGTAAGACACAGCCTATGCCCCAGAGAGTTTATAACTAAAGGAGACAAGGTAGAGAAAGGGAGGAAGGGGAAACAGAGGCTCAGGGAGGGGAAGTGACTGGCCCAAGGTCACACAGCAGGTCAGTGGCAGAATCAAGAATAGAAACCAAAGCTCCTGACAGCCACTGACCCGCACAGCACAGACATAAAGTCAGAGGGAAATGGCACAACATAGAATTAGCTGAGTGATGCTATTAGTCGCTCGTCACACAGAAATGAAATGCAGCTGGGATTTGATGCCATGAATCAATTTTGGAAGCAGGCAGCAGGCTGTCCGTGTGGTGTTGCAGTGGAATCCTTACAAATGCGCTGTCATATTGGATGCTTTGTGTGTCCATGCCATATTTCCCCGGAAAATGGAAATCAGGCAGCACTAGCTTTTTAGTATTTTAGCTTCATAACTAAGTTTGCAGCCTGCTGTCTGGAGCAATAGAGGAATTATCTTGTCTAGATAATTGAGGTTGGATGTGCTTTGCTTCATCCTTCATACTGTATTTTATCAAGCCACATCCTCAGCCAGATCTTCAGATGGTGCAAACTGATGCAGTTCCATTGACTTTAAGGGAGCCACACCAATTTACACATATGTGTTAACTTTCCACTCCTACTTAATGGCAATGGTGAGTGCTCAGCACAATTGACACTTTTATCGAGAGATATTTATCTGTAGCTCTAATCCTGACCATTGTCTTTCTCCTTCCTTCTGTAGCCATCACACAATGAACTGAGAAAGAAAATGTCCAACCAAACCACTGTGACCGAGTTCCTTCTCCAGGGATTCTCTGATGTTCGGGAGCTGCAGATTTTGCACTTTGTGGTGTTTCTGCTGATTTACCTAGCAGCCCTGATGGGGAATCTTCTCATCACTATGGTTGTAGCCCTGAACCACCACCTTCACACCCCCATGTACTTCTTCCTGGTGAATCTGTCCATCCTGGACCTTGGCTCCATCTTCGTCACCATCCCCAAGTCCATGGCCAATTCCTTCATGAACACCAAGGTGATTTCTTATCCTGGATGTGTCACCCAAGTCTTTCTCTTTTCCCTCTTCATTGCAGCTGATTTTGCCATACTCACGATCATGGCATATGACAGATATGTCGCTATCTGCCAACCACTGCATTATGAGAGAGTGATGAACAGGAGAGCTTGTGTCCAAATGGCAGCCAGTGCCTGGATTACTGGTATTGTCTACTCTGCCCTGCACACTGGGAACACCTTTAGGTTACCCTTCTGCCAGTCCAATGTCATCAACCAGTTCTTCTGTGAAATCCCCCAGATACTCAAGCTCACCTGCTCTGACTCGTACCTTAGTGAAGTTGGGCTTCTTGTCTTTAGTGTGTTTTTAAGTTTAAACTGCTTTCTTTTTATAATTGTGTCTTATGTTCAGATCTTCAAAACAGTGCTGAGAATCCCCTCTGAGCAGGGCCGGCGTAAAGCCTTCTCCACCTGCCTTCCTCACCTCATTGTGGTCTCTTTGTTACTTTGCACTGGCTTCTTTGAGTACATGAAACCCACCTCCAGCTCAGCATCAGGGCTGGATCTCATGGTGGCTCTTCTCTATTCTGTGGTGCCTCCAGTGATGAATCCGATCATCTACAGCATGAGGAACAAGGAGATCAAAGCTGCATTAAAGAAACTGATTGTGTGGAAGTTATTCACCAATAAAAAAATGTCCATCATTGATCCTTGGCTGTGATTTCATTCTGGGCTTCTTTATAGTAATAATCAATTGA